AGATGTCTACAGTGGTGACAGTGACAGAACCTACCAGCCCCCAGCAGCTGTGGACAGAAGCGACGACGACGACATGGACGATTTGAGATCAAGGTCACTCCCCGCGAGTTCCCGCCAGAGCCTGGCCGGCGTGTCCAGCCCGACCACCCTCCCCTTGTCCAGGACCAGGATCCGGTCGGAGTCTCGGACAGTGGTCAGCCGGTGCGCCACGGTGAGGACAGTGCAGCCGGACAGCTGTGACCGCATCAGCTCCTGGACCTTCCGGTCGGTGTCGAAGTCAATAGCCGCCGTGGCCTCGTCCAAAACCACCACGCGACAGCGAGACAACATGGCGCGCGCCAGACACAAGAGCTGGCGCTGACCCACGCTGAAGTAAACCCCGCCTTCCTGACACGCCCACTCCAGCTTCCCGGGCAGCGATTGGACCGTTTCCTCCATGTGGGCGTGGCGTAGGGCGGCCCAGATGTCCGCGTCTTTCGCCACGCGGTGATGAGGGTCGAGGTTGGAGCGCAAGCTACCGGAAAACAGAACAGGGTCTTGGGGGATGATGGCGAGCCTGGACCGGAGATCGTGTAGACCTACCGTGCTGATATCCACCCCGTCAATCCTCACAGAGCCCTCAGTCGCCTCCAGCAGACGGAAGAGGGAGTGAACTAGGGTGGTTTTCCCCGCCCCTGTCCGGCCTACGATGCCGATTCTCTCCCCTGGAGACACGGAGAACGTCACGTTTTTCAGGACAGGTCTGTAGGCAGGGCTGTAGCAGACGGTAAGGTTCTCGAACTGGACATGTCCGTGACTGGGCCAGGTGGGGGTCAGGCGGGGTAACACGTCATCGCTGCTGTCCCAAGCAGCCTCGTCCTCGGTGCGGGTGACGTCAGAGATGTGTCGGACACAGACCAGGTTCCGGGACACGTCTGTTAGGTTGTTGCACAGCCAGGCGATTCTACACACAAAAACAATAACACAATATAAAAACACAACAGATAGATTCTAGTCAGACGATTCTACACACGACAACAACACAATAAAAAAACACAAAAGTTAGATTTCCTACTGGGACAACAAAGTATCTTATCTTATCTTATCTATCTTATCTTATCTTATCTGATTTTTATCTTATCTTATCTTATCTTATCTGATTTTTATCTTATCTTATCTTATCTTTTATGCTACACACAAAAACAGAGAAAAATACAACAGTTAGATTGTGACACAGCCAGATATAGAAACATGACAGTTCGATTGTTGTACAGCCAGGTGATTCTACACACAACACAATATAGAAACATGGCAGTCAGTCTCTTAGCCTAACAAACAAACATGACGGAATCTTAGTTTGCAGTGCACTTCAATAATGGGCTTTTATCTCTTAGTTATAGACCGGCATTATTTACCCTGGATTCAGGGGAATTAAATCATGGCTGACCAAGGGAAATCGCATATTATGTTATATTCTTTTGTGTTTTTAGTGTGTTTCCCTCTTAGTAATGTACACATATTGTACACCATTGTAAAAGGCATTGAACGTAGAAAAAGATTAGTATAAAAATATTGAAATTCAAAGGAAAATGTGTTGGTTTTGAAGAGTTACATAACATTACGACATCAAACAAAGAGAACAGGGGAAAAAAAATTCTTCTTTCCGTGACAAAGTCAGATTCACCACTTTCTACTCCTAAATCTGTGTTATCGTTAGGTTCTCTCAGTAATTCACTTGCTTTCTCAGCAGTGTGCCTTACCAAGCGTTTACCTGACGACGCAGAAGGCTTATTCTTCGACATAGTGAAAATTTCAGAAACGACACACGAATCCCAACGCAAAACAAAGCTCAAAACTCGCATCAACGCACTGTAAACAATTGAAAAGCCCCGCTATTTCTTTACATACGGTGGATGTCACCTTTAACCCACGCTAAACCCATCGGAGAAAACTAGTATCGCTTTTATCTTCGTCTTTGAATAAGGAAATAAAAACAACACAGTATGTGTCGTCCCGGCTGATGGCGGTCGGCGGAAACAACACAGTATGTGTCGTTACAGCCTATAAGAGTTAAATACATAGTAATAATTATAATGGTCATCCAACTCCTAGACCGCCCTGCAAAGACCTGAGAAAATTTAATTAGCCAGAACATTTTGTTTTTATCTTGTTTTAACTGCGTGCAGACGACAAACGCGAACAAGCTATGGTAAAATGTAGGTAATACCTTTTATGTGGACCGTCATTTTCTTAACCATAAATTAACCAACTAATTCACGCACTAGGGTGAACCTACTGTCTAAGACAGTCACTTTTCTCTTCAGCAATGGATGACCGACTTAGATAAATCCGAATGTGGTAAAAAAGGGGGAATAAAAGTTATCATATGGGGTGGGGGAGCAAGGGGGGTGGGGGCATTAGGGGATAGGCAAACCGATCGCCCGACTCGTCGCCTGACAACAAACACGTTTTTTTTTGGGGGGGGGGGGTTGGGGGGGGGTTATGTAGTTGTTTTTGTGCCACGATAGCCGCTTTGTGCCCTCAATATGGCTAGAAAGTTAACCTGACCCGACCAGACCCGACCAGACCCGAACAAATCGCACCTATGGGCACCCCCTATTCGACAACTCACCCATTTCCCAGCTCCAGAGAGCACGTGACGGCCAGCCCCATCCTGCTCGCTCCCCCGGCCGTCTCGCTGTCTGTGATCGCCGCCAACATAGCGCTGAGGGCCACAAACACGTTGCTCATCTGCCACATGACCAAGTTAGCGGCCGTATTCTGCCCGAAATCCCTGTAAAACACCCTGTTGGTCTCGTCCTGCGCCTCGTTGTAGGCTTGCAAGAAGCGCTCCGATTGGCCGAACGCCCTGATCACGTGAGCCCCGTCCACCGCCTCGTGGGCCAGACTAGACTGGACGTCTCTCTGAGCGGCCGCCAGTTTGCTGACAGCTGATGAGAACCTCGAGTTGACTCTGTGGTTCATCACCATGGGCAACAGCACAAGCGGAAGTGACAACAAGACTACAGGACACGCCCAGCAGACGAGGAAAATGCTCAAAGCCGTGAAGTAAAACCCGGACACCACCACGTTCAGTGACAAGGGCAGAGGGTGACCGATCTCGTGGATGTCAAAGCCGAAGCGCACGGCCAGCTTGCCAACGGATGTGTCGTTGAAAAACTTGAGGGGGGATCGTAGGACTGACCACAACAGGGCACTCGCCAGGCCTTGTGTTGACCGCGCATTCCACAGGGCGAAGCAGAAGTCAAATATCACCTGGGCGACTGTTGCCAGAACAGACATCCCCAGGAAGAGCTGTAGGTAATAAAAACTGACGTCTTTCACTTTCAGATGATCAACCTCTGCTCTCGTAGCATTAACTTCCAGCCAGCAAGTTTGGTCGGACGTCGAATTCGACTGCATGGGCGGACCGAAAATAACACGTTCATAATCTGAGTTAGCGGCACAGCTCTTAAAAGCCTCTGGCGTCTGGGGCAGCTGAAACTGGACAGCTTGTGACCAGAGAGAAAAGACCAGGTTGGAGAGGGAGACGAGAGTGGGCGGGATCAGCCGGAGAACGAACAAACCACAGGCGCACCACAAGCCACACACGCGGAGGTAGACCAGAAGGCTTCTGCTCGTCGCATGACCGGCCGCCGGGTCAGAGGTCACAGAAGTGAGGTCGTCGTCGTCTTCTTCTTCAGGGTCATTATACCCGGAGGGTGGTGGGTCAATCTCGTTTTGGCTTGTGGCAGACGATGACTTTTTGGTAGTAGGATCATCTTTCTCTAGAGCTACTTCACCCAACTCTATCTCTCTACCTCGATCATCATACTCTTTCTCACTATCTCCTGCATGCCACTCTTTCTCTCTATCTTGTTCATCATACTCTTCCTTTAGTTCTCCTGCACTCCACTCTTTCTTTCTATCTTGGCCATCCCACTCTGTCATCTCTCTATCTTGTTCATCATACTCTTTCTCACTATCTCCTGCACCCCACCTCTCGTTCTCTCTTTCTTGTGCACCACACCCTTTCTTTCTTTCTTGTTCATCCCACTTTTTCTCTCTATCTTCTACATGACCTCCGGCGGTACCGATCTGACCTTGACCACTACACTCCTCGCCAAGCACCCCGTGACCTTTGACCTTCTGATCCAGGTCACGTGCCTCCCCCCGCCTCACCCTCCTCACACACGCGACCCCCCGACCCTTGTTCTCCACCAGGTATACAGCACCCACCCGGGACAACCACTGCAAGCCGTGAGTGACCATCACTCGAGTCTTTCCCGCCAAAAAGCCGCCTTCTCCGATCAAATTCCGGAACACCTGGTCCCCGACGAGAGGGTCAAGGGCGCTGAGGGGGTCATCCAGGAGGTAGAGGTCAGCCCCGCTGTAAGCCGCCCTGGCTAGACTCACCCTCTGCTTCTGCCCCCCGCTCAGAGTGACGCCTCTCTCCCCCAGCACCACCAAATCCTCGCCCGGGAATGTTTCTAAATCTGCCCCCAGCTGGCAAACGCGAAGAACTGTGCGGTACAACCCTTCGTCAAACTCTCGGCCAAACAGCACGTTGTTTCTGAGCGTGTCGTTGACTAACCAAGCCTCCTGTGAGACGTAGGCCGTTGTTCCGTTGACCTTCGCTGAACCTCCCAGATGCTCCATCTCCCCGAGGAGAGCAGACAGAAATGCGGTTTTCCCGCTGCCGACTCTGCCTACTACACCGACCAACTCGCCGCGTGCTACCCTTAGACTCACATCTCTCAGTTCAAATCCTGTCGTGTTTTCAGCCTCCCAAGAAAAACTGGCATTTTCCAGCACTATACTTGGGCTCCGTCCATCAGGCATACTTTCTGTCTCTGACCTCGTCGTCTGCTCAGTCCCGGCCGGAACAAAGTAGTTCTGTGTCACGTCAAAACCGTCCGCCACGTCACTTATGCCCCTCCGGCCCCTTACGTCACGACACCACGTCGTCTCCCCCAACAGACAAGCTCGGCGGCCAGCAACGTTCTTCGGGGAAACATCAAGATCCGAACTCGGTTTCCCTTGGTTAAAATCCGTACAGCCACACGGCGGCGAGTCACACGGACAAGAAGACCCCAACCTCTCGGCGTCAGGAGACAACAGCAACTGCTCTATCCTGGACAAGGAATCTTTGAACACGGCGAAGCTGGCGGCTATGTCCGGAATCTCTTCCATCATACAGCCCATGTCTCTGACGAGGATCACTATTGAGAACAGCAGGTCAGCCTTCAGAATCTCGTTGGACAACAGGAGTAGAAGAAAGACCAGACCAGTCATAAACATCGGCACAACGGTTGGCATCAAGGAGAAGATCGTTTTGAAACAGAAGATTTTCCTCAAGAGAACCATCTCTTTCTCCACAGCTGTCTCGACTTTAGAGCCATAGATCTTCTCCAGCGCGTGCAGTTTCAGCACTTTGATGCCTCTCAGAAGTTCCGTGACAATGGCCATCTTATCGTCCCTCGCTCGCGAGCGTTGATAATACATCCCCTCAAGGTGACCGTTGGCAAAATACGCCAGAGCAACCACACACGATATGAGGCACGTGACCAAGACAGCGGACGGGCCGGTGAAGTAGTAGAGGAGGGCAAAGTTCCTCAACATCAGGAAGAAGCTGTTCAGACTACACAGGAGCCAGGAGTAGGTCTCGGACAGGAGAGGTAGGTCCTCTGTGAGAATGGCGGTCAGCTGAGCAGCTGTATAACGTCTCCTCACCGACGGAGAGAGACGGAGAACTTTCTCGAACACGAGTCCTCCCAAACCGGCTTTGACCGTCAGCGCGCTGGTTCTCCCTGTGAAGTGAAGCCGCTCCTGCGCAAAGCACGAGACAAAAAGCAGCGCCAGAATGAGACAGCAAAGAAGCAGAGACAGGGAGAGGCCGCCGGCAGCCGCCCCCTTCTCCTCCTCCTCGGGTTTCCAGACTGGCTCCTGCGTCCGGAGCAGCCACGTCATCAGGACAGGTCTGGCCAGTGCCGTGGCCACGTGTTTGACCAACAGAAGGAGAACGATATGCCAGAACAGGCGACGGTACACCACGTTCAGTGTTCTCAACACAGGGCTCTTCAACACCGAGAACGAGGACACGGCCTCATTGTGTCCCTGCGACGTGTCAGTTGTAGTGTGTCCTGTCAGTGACGTGTCAGTTGTACTGTGTCGTGTCAGTGTTTTGTCAGTTGTACCGTGTCCTAACAATGACGAGGACGATGTGTCAGTTATACTGTGTCCTTGTAACGATGTGTCTTTTGTACTGTGTCCTCCTAACAATGTGTCAGTTGTGCTGTGTCCTGTCAGCGTTGTGTCAGTTGTACTGTGTCCTGTCAGTGTTTTGTCAATTGTACTGTGTCCTAACAACGACGTGTCACTTGTGCTATGTCCTAACGGTGTGTCAATCGAACTGTGTCCCGGCGATGCCTCAGTTGCTCTGCCTCGCTGACTCGACTCAGACTCATCTCGTCCACAATCCACCGGCCTCCCCTCTCCTCCCTGCCTCGCAACGACAGCTTCTCGCCTATCCTCACATCTCCCGCGGCGCTCTTTCTCCCAGACTGCTTGCAGACGAGACGACCAGAGATCTGACGTCATCCCATCAGGCAGTGGCGGGAGCTGGTCAGAGGTCAGAGAGGGTCCAGGGTCAAGGGGTACGCCCCTCCTCCCCCACAAAAACAGCAGCTCGGACCACAAGGACACGCCAGGGGGCACGTGCTCATCTATCCCCGACAGATTCTTCTCTTTCTCTTTCTCTTTCTCTTCCTGTGCGGTGCACTTCTCTTTCTCTTCCGGTGCGGTGCACTTCTCTTTCTCTTCCGGTGCGGTGCATTTCTCTTTCTCTTCCTCTTCCGGTGCGGTGCACTTCTCTTTCTCTTCCTCTTCCGGTGCGGTGCAATTCTTTTTCTCTTCCGGTGCAGTGCACTTTCTGCAGCGCACTGAGGCCTCCTGCTTCGTCTGCTTCGTCTGCTTCGTTGCCATGGCGAAGCGTCTTCCTTCCTCCAAGCAGACAGACCCGCCTTGAAAACTTCGATGACGAAACTTCCGAATCCAATTAAATCTGGAATACATTGGTGTTTTGATTACGACACGCCATTTTTTTTATCCCCCCCCCCCCCCCCCACACACACACTCACCTCCTCCTCCTTCTTTTCCGTTATCAAATAAATAGCTAGCGTCTTTATCTCTCTTTCTTCTCTTCTTTATATCGTATGTTACTCTCTAGTTGAGTTACACTTCTAATCTTCTGTACCAACAGTGTGATCGAATATTATCATTAAGTGTGTTGTTAGTTTCATGAAACTCGGAATAGAATTAAATACTAAATCTCTCTCCCTTCTCCAAAATCCTGCAAGCTGATCTAGATTATGTTAATTAGGATTTGTAAAATTTGGGAGTCAACGTGGTGAAATCAGCCGCTCGTCAAACTATTGAAAAGGAAGAATGTTCAGGAAATGTATTGTATTCAGCTTTCATTTTCTTTTTTTTCTTCTATTTTATGGTTGGGGGGGGGGGGGGGGGGGCTCTTAAATCCAATTTTACGGCGCTCGCAACTGCATAAGGTCGTGTGAGCACGCAGGACACACACAATAGTTTCAGCTGGTAGGAAATTTTGAATTTTGCCCGGGTGGGGACCGAAGCCTACTCTTATCGATTTTAGACCACCAAGGGATCTTTAACGTGCGCAACTTGGACACAGGACCTCCGAGATTTTTCGCCCTTGCCCGAGGAGGCTAGGTGTAGATTTTTTCTACCAGAAGATCAGAGGGGTGGCGGTAAGAAGGGGCAAAGGAGTAACAGTAGAAAGGCTGCAGAAAGAGTCAGGAGCCTAGAGGTGGGGGTAAAGGAGGAGAAGGGGTGGGGACAGAAAGTGGAGACGAAATCAGACGACAGATCTTTGCTGGAGAGAAGGAAAGGAGGTGAAAGGAGACAATTTTAGAGAAGAAAATGTTTCAGTCGCTACCCGGATTCGAACCCGGAACCTTTAAATAAGAGGCGAACACCTTAACCTCTAGGCCAAGAGAGTCTCCTACCTTCTTTTCATTAAATATTAAGTCAAACAAACAAGCTTTAAGATGTTACCAATTACGCCAAAAATATTGACGAGCGTTTGATTTCACCGTGTCGTGACACGACATTAAACATGAGGAGACCCCCCCCCCCCCCGGGGCAGTGCCACTGACTGTCGTGTCAGTAGGCTGTTCCCAAAGGGGAGACATTTCTCGTTCAAGTACAATAAGTAGAATTGTAAATGGGCTGATTCATGTCACGCTCATAACTGTGCCTGATCTACAACAGGGAACTGCTGCTTTTTCTTCCTTATCCTTACTATTGTCATTTTCCTCTACTTCTTTTGTATGTTGGTCACACCTGCTATTTCCGGGGTGCCTTGATAGTCGAAGCAGACTTTGTGCTGTTGAAGCTAGAGAGGTGAGAGGAGTAAGTCTGATTCCCTGTAAGGACTTCTCTGTTGACACCTACCCCTTGGCGCTCATATGACCTTATGCAGTTGCGAGCGCAGTAAAACCTCTACTATTTAAAAAAAAAGAAAAGAAAATTAAACACGACGAGAAAACTGTGAAGGGGGCATATTATTATTATTATTATTATTATTATTATCTGTGCATATTATGTACACTTGGACCACGTTCCATGGCGATCTTGAAGATAGACGTAGTCAGAAACTGGGTCAGAGTGTGTCAGCCTTGTGGGGTATTGTTATCGTTAATGACACAGACACACACACACACACACGCACACACACAAACACACATACGCACACACGCGCGCACACACACACACACACTCACACACAAACTCCCCCCCCTCTCTCTCTCTCTTTGTGTGTGTGTGTGTGTGTGTGTGTGTTCGCGTGTGTGTGTGTGCGTGAGTGTGTGTGTGTGTGTGTGTGTGTGTGTGTTTGTGTGTGTGTGTGAAAGAGACAGAGACAGATATATTGACCCAAACAGATAGATAAAGTGACAGAAAAAAAAGAGATAAGAGAGAGGTGAGAGAGAGATGAGAGAGAGAGATGAGAGAGAGAGAGAGAGAGAGAGAGAGAGAGACAGACAGACAGACAGACAGACAGACAGACAGACAGACAGACAGACAGACAGAATAATACCAGAGAGTGTTTTACTGTTTATCATTCCAAAAGAACAAGAGCGGAGATCGGAAAGGAAACAATCAGCAGAAGGGGACACAAAGGTTGAACAAAAAAAAAATCAAAACAAAATCACGTTGCTATGGTTACCTGAGCCAAACGGGAAAAAAACCTCCACACACAAACGAGCGACAAGAAAGCAGCAGTTCTTGAAATAGGCTGTGCACCCCCCACTCACACACAGACACGAACACAAACTGTTTTATATCTTCATGTCGAGAGGACACACGACAAAAATAGACAGCACGCGAGCTTAACTCCTAGCATACAGGTTATGGCTATGTCTCGTCCTCTGTACGAAGCCAGTATAATAATTAAACATTTTTTCCCGTCTCAGTTTTCGATTAGCATCACAAACTTCCCTACATATATTATTATTATTATTATTATTATTATTATTATTATTATTATTATTATTTATTATTATTATTTATTATTATTATTATTATTTATTATTATTATTATTATTATTATTATTATTATTATTATTATTATTATTATCTATTATTATTATTATTATTATTATTATTATTTATTATTATTATTATTATTATTATTATTATTATTATTACTAGTAAAAGTACCCGTTCTAGGAACGGAATAACAATGAAGAAGTACTTCTCTTATTCTCCACTCCTGATTAATCTATTAAAATTTACACAGAAGTAACAACAGACCGGGCAGGAAATTAATGTTCCTAGCTATAAACATATAAATATATAAATATTATTGGTTTCTATTCTGGCCAACAAAGATTGGCCGAGGTTTGATAGATTTACTTACGATTACAGCATCAACATTGAGTCGATAGTGCCGTAAAACACCTACTCAATAAAAAACAAAAACCCAATGTCATCAGTGAACAAAATACTGCGCGCCGCTGTAACTTTAACCCCGCTGAGACGGCGAGAGTTAAAGAACAGAATCCGAAAAAAAACAACCCCAAAACAAAACAGGGTCAGCGAGAACTTGCCACTGGTGGTGCAACACATCGGCTCAAGGATAGTGCGCTGCGACAGCAAGCAGTCAGCCCCTCGAGATAAACACAGGAAAAAAAGCTTCCCGCAGAAGTAGGCCTATATCCTGTTATCGAAAGATTCTTCACTAGTACTAGTTGTAAAGTAGCAGTTAGTAAAGAATCTTTGCTGCTTTTGGGTGTAGATATTTTTGGTCTGTTCTCTTATAAAGTCCAACCTGTTCTAAAGACCACGTAAGTATAATAAGACAATCAAAAGCTAAAGCCTATTCATATCGATTTTAGGACCACCAATGGATCTTTAACGAGCACAACTTGCACATGGGGCGTGTTTTGTTTTGAGTGTAAATAATCCAGTGATGCTTACAATTTTGTTCTGGATATATTATTATATTAACAATCCAGTATAAAACACGAACTTCTCATTTCCTACCTAGTGGGGTGTTAATTTAGGGGGGGGGGTGGGGGGGTGGGGGTGGTGGAAGAGGGGAGATTGATGATATTATGATGACAGTGTGTAAAACAATCACCTGTATAAAACACGCAGTTCTCATTTCCTGCCTTGAGGGGCGTTGATAGGGGAGGGGGGGGAGGTAGGTGACATAAAGAATGAAACCGTTGAAGACGGTCATATGTCTAAGACGGCCACTTTTAATTCATTTTGTTTGAACAAACAGGTAGCTACCGGTCAAAAACTGTCCAAGATGGCCTTGCTCCCATTGTCGAAAACAAAAGGGGTTGTCTCAAACAGGTCTTGGACGGAGTCGGTTTGTTGTTTCTTGGTAAGCGTTTTACGCCCCTCGCAACGGCATAAGGCCATACTATAAGCTCATGAGACATAATTAAACATTTTCACTTTTTGAATTTTGCCCGGGAGGCGGCCAAAGCCAAAGCCTACTGATATCGATTTAAGGACCACCAATGGATCTTTAACGTGTGCAACTTGCGGCGGGACGTGGTTTGATCTGAGTGAAAACAATCCAGTGATGCTGATGTGTGGTAGAGTTGTGTTCGAAGTCTAAACATTCCAGTGCTTCTTAGAGTTTTGTTCTGAGCGTAAACAATTCCAGTGCTTCTTTGAGTTTTGTTCGGAGCGTAAACAATCCCATGATTCTTTGAGTTTTATTCTGAGTGTAAACAATCCCATGATTCTTTGAGTTTTGTTCTGAGCATAAACAATCCCATGATTCTTTGAGTTTTGTTCTGAGCATAAAAAATCCCATGATTCTTTGAGTTTTGTTCTGAGCGTAAACAATCCCATGATTCTTTGAGTTTTGTTCTGAGTGTAAACAATCCCATGATTCTTTGAGTTTTGTTCTGAGTGTAAACAATCCCATGATTCTTTGAGTTTTGTTCTGAGCATAAACAATCCCATGATTCTTTGAGTTTTGTTCTGAGCATAAACAATCCCATGATTCTTTGAGTTTTGTTCTGAGTGTAAACAATCCCATGATTCTTTGAGTTTTGTTCTGAGAGTAAACAATCCAGTGATGCTGAAGTGTGGTAGAGGTTGTTTTTTTTATAATAGAGGGTTTTGCGGCGCTCGCAACTGCATAAGGTCATATGAGCGCCAAGAGGTGGGTGT